CCCACTTTATCTCCATTTCCATTAACTCCTCGTGTCTTTGGCTGTGTGTGCTTTGTCCACAATCTGAGTCCTGGAATAGACAAGCTAGATGCACGCTCCATTAAATGTGTCTTTCTTGGCTACTCTCGGACTCAAAAGGGATATAAGTGTTATAATCCCATTACTCGAAAGTGCTATGTCTGTCCTGATGTCACTTTTTTGAGTCTGTCCCCTTCTTCTCAGGACCTGAAGCACCTTCGTCTCCACCCTTACTTCCTCTTCCTCTTCCTGTCAGTGATCAAGTTCCGGATGCTGCTGTTGGAGTAGACTCATCACCACTGAATGACCACCGATCCGGAAAGTGTATACGCGTCGAACGACACCGGCCCCTCCTCCAGCTTCTACCTTATCTGTGGATCCTGTCATGGCTCCTGTTGCTGAACCCTCAGAACTTGACCTACCCATTGCCTTACGGAAAGGTAAACGCAGTTCTACTCTCCATCCCATTTCCAATTTTGTTTCATTATCTCGCCTTTCCACCTCACATCGTCAGTTAGTTTCACTTTTGTCATCTATTTCCATACCTAACAATGTCCAAGAAGCTCTTAGTTCACCTGGGTGGCGGCAGGCAATGGAGGAACTCTCTACTCTTCAACATACTCAAATGTGGGAGCTCACTACTCTCCCACCTGGTAAGCATGTTGTGGGCTGTAAATGGGTGTATACTGTTAAATACTTGCCAAATGGTAGTGTGGAGCGTCTGAAGGCCAGACTCGTTGCTAAAGATTACTCACAGTTTTATGGAGTGGACTACATGGAGACATTCTCTCCGGTGGCTAAGATTGGCACTATTCGTGTGCTAATCTCCCTGGAAGTTATGTATGATTGGCCTCTGTTTCAGCTTGACATAAAAAATGCCTTYCTTCATGGTGACCTTGTGGAGGAGGTATATATGGAGCAACCACCTGGGTTTGTTGCTCAGGGGGAGGATGGTAAGGTGTGCAGACTGAAGAAGGCAATTTATGGGTTGAAACAATCGCCGCGTGCTTGGTTYGGGAAGTTYAGTGARGTGGYGAAGAGTTTTGGAATGAAGCAATGCCAGGTTGATCACTCAGTGTTCAACTATGACTCAGAAGCTGGAAAGATTTTATTAGTGGTCTATGTGGATGATATTGTTATTACTGGCAGTG